AAACTCAGTCAGTTCCTTCCAGTCCTCTGCCTTGTTTCCTTGTGGAATTTGACTCCTATTAGCTGAGGACAACATGTCGGTCAAAGACAGATTTTCGCTGCTCCTGAACTTGAAGCTTCCAGCGCTGCTGGGCATACTCTACCTTGTTCAGAACGTTAGGTCGACTGCGGGAGCGAGCCAGGACATCATGAGCATTTGCAAAAGGCTGGTGATCCTGAAAGACCAAGTAGAAAGTGCCAGTGATGGTAGTTCAGTGTAAAATGCACAGCAGCAGTTAACAAGCCAGAGACAAGAGCAGGTGGGCTTTTCAAACAAAAGAGCATCTATGTGACTAAGCACTTCTACGAAATCACCTATCAGAAGGATGCACTCCTCTATAGAAATAAGAGCTCAAGAGGCATATGCCATGAGCAGGATATGGAAATGGGCCACCATTTTCAAAGATGTTTCCTTTAAGATACAGAGACCAAGACAAAGACAGCAATCATTTGTGTTAAAGAGAAGTCTTCCCTGCCTAGTACAAAGAGAAAATGTATTTGTGTGATATTCTGTCCTGGTTAAGAGATACAGAGAGTAGGGCATCTCCTTGACTTAATATTATGTAGCTAATCTACTGCAGAGAAAATTTCTGATTCTTAATATCTTCACTCCTATTATAGAAGAATTGTTTACTTGCTTGGACCCACATTCAGCATGGCAGATGAGTTGAAATAACTATATGGTTGTTTTTAACCTTTCCCTGTCCTTTCAGAACATATACTAAATGGCCTACTTTCCAAAACTTTTCTTGTTCCTCCCTTCTATAAACTGTAACAAAAAGAGACATATACAGTTCAAGTGCTAAAATCACCCTTCATAAGCAAGGACAGTAAAGAATGATTTACTCTTCACATTTTTATGCAACAATGACTTGCATCTTTCATTGCTGAGCACTCAATGCCTCATGTTAGTTGCTGTAAAAAGAAAGACGTTATTGAAGGATTTTGCTGGTATCTGTGTAGAGAATCTACCAATCCTGGTCAAAGTAAACTAATACAAGTGGATGTTTGTAGTCATTACACAGGAAACCACCACGCTAATCTATCTATAAATGAGATATAAACACAGCTGCCTGCATGACAAAAAACATTCAATAGTAATTTATTATTTTTGTTTTGCCTTTTCCTTGATCTCTTTTTCCTGAACTCCATGCCAACAAAGTTTCTAAATGTTCCAACACAAAATGCAAGTCACAAGTTGGGACTATTAAGCTGTTTTGTCTCTAGAAAAGAAACAACTTTGTTCTGAAGTGCATGTCTGTAAAAGCTGTCCTATATCCAGGACAAGAGACAGCATATAAGAGGCATCGTTGAAAAATCTATTACTGAAGAAGCACATTGCTACATACTGCCCCTCACTTTGAACACACTTATCCTGTCATTCTTGTCACTTTCTCAAGTAGGTCTGGAAGTCCTCTTTCATGGTATTGTTACATTCCTATCCTGGCTGCCTCAATGTCCTGAATTGTTTCAAATGTTTTCTTTCATGGTCATTTTTACTTTGGGGAAGAGCAGGAAGTTGCATGGTACTGGGCCTGGTGAGCAAGGTGGATGAATACACACTGTAACTTTTTTTTTTTTTTTTTACAAATCTCTTCATTGGGGGGCACTTAGTGGTCACACTCACTACATTTTTGATCACACCTTATAAAGACAGTCACAAAAATAGGGATTTTCAGAACTGCTTCAAAAAGTGGCAGGAGTGCCATCAAGATAGCTCAATGGTCCACAGTGCCTGCGTAGGCAAGCTCCGGCAATAACAGGGACCACGGTTCAATTCCCAGCACCACATGCCATGCCAGCCTGGCCCTCAGGGTGGGCTGAGTTGGCCACCAAAAAAAAAAGTTCCCTTGGGCCGGTCAAATATCTCAGTGGATTAAAGCTCCTGCTTAGGTAGACACAGGGGCCAGGGTTCAATCCCCCTGCCTGTTGTGCTGGCCCCACCCACTGGGCGCGCTGAGACAGCAATTGAGACTGGGCATGGTGGTGTGCGCCTGTAATCCCAGCTCTTGGGAGGCTGAACACAGGAGAATCACTACAAGTATGATCTATGTAGTGAGACTCTGTACACCCTGTACTAAAATACAAAAAAAGGTGGCAGGAATTACGGGATAGTGGGTTTAAGCAAGGGATAATATTTTTTGAAGGTTAAAGGCAAGGTGTTTTTTATCACAATAAATTTTAAACTCAATTATTTACCATATATTTTTATCATACTTTGGGGGCCTGTCCCTTAGTTCAGTTCTTTAAGTGGCTGCTTCAGTCAGGCTCAGGTTGCTGTGGTTCGATCCCCACAACTCAAGCCAGCCAAACCTGCCCTGAAGGCATTCCGAGCAAAAAAAAAAAAAAAAAAAGAAAGAAAGAAAAATCCTTATTCCATACTTTATACATAGAAAACTATGCATAAACAAGTAACTATAATTATATACGGTGTTATAATATCTGATCTTATTGGGGATTTTTTTGGCCCTGGGGATTGAATTCTGACACTGCACTTACCAGGTGCTTATGCCACTGAGCTATTTCCCCAGCCCTATCTGGTTTTACTGTTATAGTAAGATATTTATACCATGGTTATATTTTAACACTTTTCTATAAAAATAATCTTTTCTTGCCTTTTTTTAACCAAAATGTCTTCAACTTTTTACTAAATGGTAATGACTTGTGTAAATCCTATTTATTTCTAAGCTAAAAATGAAAATAATAGACAATCCTATAAAGTCCAAAATGTGAGAGAGAGGAGGAGGGCGAAGAGGAAGAGGAGGAAGAAGAAAAGGAAGAAAGGAAAGGCAAAGTAAGACTAAAGTTCCGTGATTACTTGATTACCCATAAGGAGATAAACTGACCCAAGGTCATTTAACACACTGAACTTAAGTCTGACTAACCTCGACTTTGTGTCATATCTCCTCAACACACAGGTTTTGTTCTGGTAGATTAAAATGACACTATAGGAATGTGGTGCTTCAGTGAATTTGCACATAAAATATTATTACCATTGATTTATTTTGACATAAACAAGACTGGGAAGAAGGATGTACTTTGTTAGGAGAGCACTCCTCAGTTTAGTCCTGCTATCTACTCTTCAAGGTAGGGGGAGAAAAAAATCCTCTTAAGGAACAAATTTAAAAGACTAAATAAACCAGTTAATCCTTTAGGTCTGTCCTCCACCTATTAGAACAAGATTGAACTAGCTGATCACAGGCATGGATGTTGAAAGAATGCAAATAGAGATTTACCCTTTTACGTTTGTTCTTTTACCCCTGATGAAATTTCAGTGAATACAAAACATGCTAATGTAATGCTTTGATAACAGGAATGATGTGTCATGGATATATGATACAGTAAATATTATGACTACTTATACTATTATGACTACTCTGTGCTTTTATTTGCTTTAAAGTGCTCTATATTTTCTAAAAAATAAAGAAAAAAACAACTTGAAATTTAAAATGAACACAAAAATTGAAGAACTCTTATTTTTTTGTTGGTACTAGGGCTTAAGCCTACAGCCTCTGAATTGAGATACAACTCAATAAATACATGTACAGATTTTATTTTGAGGCAGAGTCTTACTAAGTCCCTAAATTGCCCAGGCTGGGCTGAAATTTGCAATCTTCCTGCCTCGGTCTCCCAGAGGGCAAGGATTATAAGCATGAACCACTATGTCCAGCAGGAACTTCCATCTTAAATAAGCAACAAACATAGGGATTTTTCTTTTTGTATGGAATTATTGCCATAATACCACAGCTTTGGTCAGAAGACGTCATGCTGCCCAGAATCAGTTTAATAGTTATGCCAGAGTCAGTCAAGCCTCTCAGCTACTGTCCTCAAAAGTCAACGTGAGGGCAGAATCAATCACTTATGGGCACAATGGTTTCTGAGCACATGACCCCACCAAGCAAGTGCCTGGCCTATATGTTTTTGTGTTTACATTTTATATTCACTTCCTATATGCTCTGAATGTATTTTTTTTTCCTTTTTTTTAAAAAAAAAATTATTTATTGGTGTGTGTGTGTGTGTGTGTGTGTGGCCAGCTCAGCTCACCAGGGGGCGGGGCTGGCTGGCTTGTGGTGCTGGGGGATTGAACCGCGGTCCCTGTGCTTTGCTAAGCTTGTTCTATGTAGGTGCTTTAGACCACTGAGCCATCTCACCAGCCCTGAATGTATTATTTTAATATTGCTTATTTCTGAAACCAGTAACAGATACTTAATGCTATAATGGATGTAGATGAAGTCAGAGTTTCAACTTATGTGCCTATAATGAAAATGGTTTTTCTGACACCAGTATTTCTGTATGTAGTTCCTGGGGATTAGACCCAGGGCTGCTCTACCACTTAGCTGTACCTCCAAGGCCTTTTTGAGACAGGGTCCTGCTAAGTTGCTAAGTTGTCCAAGCAGGACTCAACCCTGAGATCCTTCTAACACAGCTTCCCTCAGTACTGGTATTATATAATTTTTATTGTCATGACTGGGAAGCCAATCATGTCATGAATCATTTGGCATCTAGCAGACAGAAGTCAAGAATGTTGCTGAGTATCTTACAATAGATACGACAGCTCCCCACAAAGAATTATTCCTCCATCCTTAAATATCTACAAAGTCAGAGCAAGAAATCCTGAACACATGAATGAAAATTAATCTGAAAACAGTATTTGAGAGACTTAATGCTTCTGACACACAACCTCCTGTCCTAGTTCGCTCTGGCTCCAGCCCCACTATAACTTTTTTTTAAACTACACTAGTTCTCCAGTCTTTTCTCCCACCACTTCTTTTAAAATAAAAGGAGGTTATTTCTTATATGACTAAAAATAAATTTCTTATTTATTTCTTACATGTTATTTCTTATATGACTAAAATTTATTTCTTATATGTTATTTCTTATATGACTAAAAATAAAAGTGAAAAAGTACACTATGGTTAGTCATTTTTTTTACATGTCTATTTCTGCTTCATTCATTCATTTTTTTTTTGTCTTTTTGATACAGGGTCTCTCTATGCAGTTCAGGCTGGCCTTGAGCTCACTTTGTAGCCCAGGCTGGTCTCGAACTTGCAATCATCCTCCTGCCTCAGCCTCTTGAGTTCTGGGAATACAGGCCTGTGCCACCACACCTAGCTTCATTCATTTTTTTTTATTCCTAGTATCCAGCACAGTACTTTATCCAGAAAAGAATTCAATATGCATTGTTTGAATTAATAAAAACATCAGGGGAAAAGATGCAAACAGGTGTTTCTATGAGAGTCCTTGACAAGAAACTTAAAATCCTGCCCAAAGAAGTTGAAAATGCATATTTGGTATTCATGGGACAATAGTGGGTAGATCAAAGAGCAACTCTGTTTACAGTTGTAACTCCAGCTATGCAGTCAGGCTCTCCTTTCCAGTTTTCACAGACATGTCCACAAAAGCATTCCACAGTAAGTGACTTCTGACTGGCAAGCTAACGCTGGCTTTGGCTGCTGAAACTATACTGAATTTTATCCTCTTTCAAGAACAAAGCCCAAGAAAATACAAAAGAAAAATAATTTTAAAGAATTACATATAATAATGAAATACTGGATAACTTAGAAATAATTACAAATATGGATAAAACGAACAATATAATTCTCTAAGCTATACCGAATAACAAGCTTCTGTACTATGTCAGCTTTTAGGTTTTTTGTTGTGCTGGGATCAAACCCAGGGCCTTCCATAACTCTGGACATTTTTTTTTTTTTAATTTTATTTATTTATATGTGTGTGTGTGTGTGTGGCCAGCTCAGCCCACCAGGGGGCGGGGCTGGCAGGCATGTGGTGCTGGGGGATTGAACTGCGGTCCCTGTGCTTTAGCTAAGCTTGTTCTAAGTAGGTGCTTTAGACCACTGAGCCATCTCACCAGCCCCACTCTGGACATTTTTTAATGAAGTTATGTTAAAATGCAAAGGAGATTATGAAACCACATGTATAGTAATTGTGGTAACTATGTCTTTTAAAGCCAGCAGGAAGATCTGAAGTGATGGTTTTACTCTGGAGTTAAAGAAAAAAATTATAGTCCTTTTATTTAAAGGAGGAAATATAAAACATCACTAAGTTGTACATCCTTGATAATAGTAAGAAAAGAAGGCCACACTTTCCATGTTTCCCTTCAGTAAAACCTCTTTGTCTTCTATAGATTTGGTGACCCTGACAAGCATAGTGTTTCAGGTAGGAGTGTGGGGAGAAACCCACATGAGATGCTTTCTGCAGGAAACAGCATAAGGCCTTAAAAAAACCACCAGTCTTCAAGAATCGTCAGGTTGAACTGCCACATTTATGGTTTTACAGAACAATTTCCTCACAAATAAAATCTACTAAAATTAGAACTTTAGCTTTTCAGGTTGAGGCTCAACTCCAGTAATTCAAACATCTATATGCAACTATTTTCCACTTGTATTTTATATCTGATAAAGGAGACTGGTCACGAGCCAGGAAGGCAGACTGAACTTACCCCCACATCATCGTCACTCTGTATCAATTGTGAGTGTCCAAAGAGGCGCCGCTTCAGTATGGGCTCAACTAGGGTAAGATATACCATGTACAGCAGTAGGAGACCCAAAATAGAGAGGTAAATTATAATGGTAACCTATGGGAAATTGAAAGTAAGTTACATCTCTGTTCAAGACAAGAAATCTAAATTTATTTTACTTCATTATTATTATTATTTATATCAGTTATTTATTTATTTATTTGGTACAAGGTCTTACCATGCAGCTCTGACTCAGTGATCCTCCTGTCAGTCTCCCCAGTGCTGGGATTATAGACATGTGCCACCACGCCCAGTCTTAGTGGCTGGCACATGTGCCCTGGGTTCTGGGGGCAGCACAGCATGCAGTATTGGGGATCAAACCACCGAGCTGTCTCCCCAGCCTTTATTTATTTATTTTTAAGAAATCAGAATTTTATACAATGTTAAAGCCACAATGAAGACCAATATACCCCTGCTTAGCCTATGGGATTTCTATACCATCCAGATTCTAGTATATAAAAATAAACTTGGGCCAGCAGGGGCTGGGGGTTTGATCCCTGGGCCTGCCACGCTGGGCCTGACCCCAGGGCATGCTGAGATGGCAATTGAGAATGGGCGTGCCTATAATCCCAGCTCTTGGGAGGCTGTAAACAGGAGAATCACTACAAATCCGATCTAGTAGTGAGACCCTGAACAACCTATAGACCCTTCCCTAAAATACAGGAAAAAAAAACCCAAAACCCCCCAACAAACTCAACTCCTCACTGAAGTAGTATTTGAGGAAGAAGAAATAAAGCATTTTTTTCTTTGAGATCTTTCTTGAGTCTCTGATATTCCATTTTCACCTACTGCTAAACATTTGTCTTTATTGCAGCATAGCAGTTTTCTTTTCTCAGCTGAACATAGTGTCCTACCTAGATTCACAAGTACTGCTGCCTAAACAACTTAAAGGAACTCTTTCGAGGAAATGTAACTAAGGTAAATTTCAATGGAACATAGTATTCATTTACAAATAAGTTTAGATCTACAAAAACCTTTTAGGATAGTGATTTTCTTGGGCTATTAATTTGTGTGCTGACTAAAACTACAGAAAGACATATCCACTAGAACAGATATAATAAAATAGACAATGCCAATTATTAGCAAGGACATGCAGAAACAGAAACATCATACATCACTGGTAAATGGTATAATCCCAGCCATACCTGCCTATAATCCCTGTACTTTGCTGGCTGAGGCAGGAAGAGTGTAA